GCAATATTTAAAAAAATGTTTACCCATTCACTCAGTTATGGACAGAAAAATTGCCAAAAAAGTGTAAACACAAGTTATATAGCTTGACAAAGTCATGGCATTTTGTAATTGTGAAAAATAGAAGTTGCCAAGTCATTGCTCTGACTTGTGAAGTAGAAAAATATTCAACTTCATGCAAGTTATCTTCCTACCAAATATGAAATACATCTGTCATTAAATAAAGGCTGTATGGGCAAAAGTGTAAAAATCTATTTTGAGCACTGGTGACCCTGACCAAACTGACCCCTAACTCTATCCAAAAGAAGAATACCATGTTAGTTATCTTCATACCAAATAGGAAATTCATCTGTCATTAAATAAAGGCTGTATGGGCAAAAGTGTAAAAATCTAGTTTTAGCACTGGTGACCTTGACCCAACTGACCCCTTACTCCATCCAAAAAAAGAATACCATGCAAGTTATCTTCCTACCAAATATGAAATACATCTGTCAATATATATAAAGGCTGTATGGGCAAAAGTGTAAAAATCTACAAGTGACCTTGACCCACTGATCCCAACCCCAATCAAAAGGATGAATACAATGCAAGTTATTTTCCTATCAAATATAAAATATATCTGTCACTTAATAAAGGCTGTATGAGCAAATGTGTAAAAATCTATTTTAAGCACTGGTGACCTTGACCCAACTGACCACTAACTCCACCAAAGTTTATGTTTCTATCAATTATAAATAACATCTGTCTCTAGAATAAGGTCAATACACCTGTAAAAATGTAAAAATCTATTTTTAACATTGGTGACCTTGACATTGGTAACATTGACCTTGACCCAAATGACCCCTTACTACACCTAAAGAAGGAGGACCTCCCTTGGCATGTTTGTATTAAACTAAGACATCACTTAAAAAATAAAGGCTGTATGAGCAAAAATGTTTATATTTATTTTTTAAACCAGTGACCTTGACCTTGACCCTAGAGATGCATACTCCAAAAAAATTAGAGGACCATCAAAGGTATCCATCTACTAAATATGAAAGATATCATTAAAGAAATTAAGCAATTAGGAGAAATTTAAGATAAATCCAACTTGCCGAAATAGGTTAACCAGACAAGGCCCTATTTTCAAAGTGAAAAAAGGGAAATAACTGGGAAATATGGATGACACCGTTATATAACTTGGCAATATCATGTACTTTGTATTGATAAGTAAGTGTGGAAATTATAAAGCCATTAGTATAGATATAACTAAGGATATTTCCAACTTGCCGTTTTAGGTTAACCATTATTCATTTTCTAAGTGCTGAAAAGGGCAATAACTTGGTAAATATGAAAGTCAGAGTTATGAAACTTGCCCAGATCATGTACTTTGTATTGGTTAGTAAGTGTGTAAACTTATAAGCCATTGGTACAGGTAGAACAAATCCAACTTTCCGTTCTTGGTTAACCTCCTACAGACAGACAGACGGACAGTTCAATTACTATATGCCCAGGGGCATAAAAAGCTATGACCCTTGGGGCTGGGCTAATTAAATTAGCCCTCCCCCCTGAGGGTCATAGTTTTTTTTTATAAATTTTGACACTAGAGGTAAAATTTGAACAACTTTTGTAAAGTACCCAGGGATCATTCTAGGGGGCGATTTCCGCTATTTCTCGCAAAAATATCACCAAAATCTCAGAGAAATTTGTGAAATGAGAGAAAATCTCGCACGTCAATTTGAGCCGGAAAATTTCTAAACACAATCTAAGGAATGCTAAAATTACACAAAAATATGATGAAAAATTCACGAATTCCCATCAAGAATTTAATTTCAAATTGTTTATTAATGAAATCGGTGTAAAAAACTCCAAAAAGTAGTCCAACACTTTGAATTATTTAGCCTAAAATAATTGCCGATCGGAGACCACAAATTCACCGTACAGAAATATGGTATGATGGCTAACCTTTATCTATGTGTAAGTCGAGAATCTACACAAAACACTTTTAATTGATTTTAATAAAAAAATTTAGACACAGACTAACATAAAAATGGACATGTCAAAAATAAATCTACCGGTAAAATTTGTCTTCTAAATGTCACATCAAAACCCGGTAAATTTTGCCGTAAAGAACAAATTAAAAAATTTTGTTTTACGATTCCTGATGAAATAGCCGATAATAAATGTTCTTTTATTGAACAAAAATATTTAATTTTATATAATTGCAATCAGCAACAGCTAGAATTGTGAATGTTCCAGCGGAAAACAGACAAATATTCATTTGTCACATATTTTCGCGATGTCGTGATTAAAAAAAATTCTAAAAGGGAGCCGAGTGTTATTTAAAGGTGTTTTATAACACTAAAAATTATGTTTATGAATAACAAGAGCTGTCACAGGAGACAGCGAAGCTCGACTAATAAAATACTGGACGCAGTAAGGAGGGTAAAACTATGAAAGAAAAATCCATTATGTATAATTATGTATTAAGTTATAGAAGAAAAAAAACATTTGTGAACATTAATTCCAAGATCAAGGGGAATAATTCTAGAAATAGTCATGCTAGAGTTATGGACCTTGTCACACAACATTTGTGTAATGATAAGAAATATATATTTGAAGTTTGAAGTAGATACCTTAAAAAGTAAAGAAGTTATTATATTTCTTAAAGAAAATCCTAAGTTCAAAGACAGATAAATCTGTAAATATTGCTTCAAGAGTTATGAACATTGTCACATAAAATGTAATTGATGATAAGGAATAAGTATTAGAAGTTTGAGGTAGATACCTTTAAAAATAAAAAAGTTATAATAAAAAATAACATTTTTCTAGTAAAAAAATCTAAGTTTATGGAGAGATAATTCTTGCAATATTGGTGCTAGAGTTATGAACCTTGTCACATAAGATGTGGATGATGATAACGTAAATATATTTGAAGTATGAAGTTGATCCCTTTAGAAATAAATAAGTAACAGTAAAAAATAATATTTTTTATGGAAAATTCTAAGTTCAAAGGGAGATAAATCTAAAAATATTGGTGCTAGAGTTATGAACCTTGTCACATAAGATGGGGATGATGATAGCGTAAATATATTTGAAGTATGAGGTTGATCCCTTAAGAAATAAAGAAGAAACAGTAAGAAATAGTATTTTTTGAGAAAAATTCTAAGTTCAAGGGGAGATAAATCTGAAAATATTGGTGCTAGAGTTATGAACCTTGTCACATAAGATGGGGATGATGATAAGGTACATATATTTGAAGTATGAGGTTGATCCCTTAAGAAATAAAGAAGTAACAGTTAAAAATAGTACTTTTTAAGGAAAATTCTAAGTTCAAGGGGAGATAAATCTGAAAATATTGGTGCTAGAGTTATGAACCTTGTCACATAAGATGTGGTTGATGATAAGGAACATATATTTGAAGTTTGAAGTTGATACCTGAAGAAATGACAAAGTTATAGTGAAAAATATTTTACTGCACCAAAACTTTAATCTAAAATCTGGACGCGGACGCCGACGCCGGGGCGAGTAGGACAGCTCTCCATATACTTCGTATAGTCGAGCTAAAAATTACTTTTGTTATTGTTTATATTTGTGGATATGGAGATATTTGTCATTATGTGTTCAGGTATATTTTTTAATGGAGGGAGGTGTGTGAAGAGAAACATAAAGAAAACAAAATGAAAGGTTATAAAGATATTCTTCAAATCTCAACAATCACTTCTGTACAGTACAGTGTTGTCCATTAGGCACATTGACTGCAAATAATAGTTGTAGTAGATATCCATGTATAATTCTTTTATATTTCAGAATAAAGATGTTATATTTATTTTTCACAATTAGAATTTTATTATGTTTAAAAATCACAAAAGAAAAGGCATAGGATGTGTTAAAAAAGTGAAAACAAAAATCACTGTAATAAACAGGGATTCATCTTCTTATATCCTCATTAGATAAACAATGTTTATATGTACAGTGATTTTTAAAAAGTTAGAAATTTCCATATTTTTAACCTCGCCCATCATGAAAATTAAATCTCTCAAGAAAATCTAATTTCTCTCATCAAAATTTCTCAAATGAGAGAAAATCTCTCACTAAAAATCCTGACCAGGATGATCCCTGAGTACCTATAGATGATATCATTTACCAAATATCAAAGCTCTAAGCCTTGTACCTTCAGACAATAAGATTTTAAAATTTTTTTTACTATATGTACATAGTGAAAATCAATGACCCCCAAAGGGGGCCAATTTTGACCCCAGGGCTATCATTTGAACAATCTTGGTAGAGGTTCACTACACAATGTTTCATGCAAAATATCTAACATCTAAGCCTTTGTCAATTTAGAGAAGATGATTTTTAAAAGTTTTTACTATATACATAATTATAAGGATAACCTATGACATCCGGGGCGGGGCTAATTTTGATACTAGAGTCAATATTTGAACAGCTTTGGTAGAGTACCTATAGATGATATCTATACCAAATATCAAAGCTCTAAGCCTTGTACCTTTAGACAAGTAGCTATTTTAAGTTTTTACTATATGTACATAAAGTGAAAATAAATGACCTCAGGGGCGGTGCCAATTTAACCCCAGGGCTACAATTTGAACAATCTTGGTAGAGGTCTACCAGACTATGCCTTATGCAAAATATCTATGCTCTAGGCCCAGTGGGTCTTCACAAGAAGATCTTTTAAATTTATTCTTATAATTCCTTTTGGTTGCCATAGCTACCAGATTTCTAAATGAAATGAAATTCTTTGAACAACTTTGGAAGCCCTTTACCCAAGGATCGATCCTGCCAAGTTTAGTTGAAATTGGACTAGTGGTTTTTCACTAGATTTTTTTTTTGTTCACTATATAATCTATATAACACAAAAACATACATACACATAAACACACACATAGGTGAATCGCTATATGCTTCCGCATCGCAGATGCAGCGATGGCATGAAAAGGCATGCATACTCTCCACACTGTCACAAAACTAATCATATTTGTTCTAGAACGTAATAAACATACCCTTTTTCTGCGGTATCAGTACTGGTACAATCTCACTTTTGAAAAGTCCTGCCTCAGCAGATTGCCTTGTCAGTTTATAGCTTCTTATAGCATACTCATCTTGTTCTTCCCTACTAATTTTATATTTCTTTGCTGTTGTCTCACCACATATACCCTGCATAGATAAAATACTCACATATAGTTTTACAAAGTAAACCTAGAAATGTGTCCATAGGACACTTATTCCATTCCCCCAATTCATTTGCTGTTTAATATGTTATATAATATGTTATATATAAAAATATTTACCTAATAAGTGAATGAGGAAACTCATTTTCTTGACAAGACAAGTATTACATCTCTCACTGTCATTTTGACATATTGGCCTTAAAGTCAATAGATTAAGCTTCATAAACTAAAACTTATTTATTCTAATTTTGTTTATCTGACAAGGAACAGGTAATTGAAGTACAAATACAGATGGGCTATGTAGCAACCAAATCACTGTCTGTTATTGCTTTTAAAGTGGGAAAATAACAGAAACAAAAAGAAATAACTAATAAAATATTCATAGATATCTTATGTCAACATGTCACATTATCCACCATATTTTTTAACTGAAAGGACAACATCTCACATTATCCACCATGTTTTGTTACTGAAAGGCCAACAAGTCACATTATCCACCATGTTTTGTTACTGAAAGGCCAACATGTCACATTATCCACCATGTTTTGTTACTGAAAGGCCAACAAGTCACATTATCCACCATGTTTTGTTACTGAAAGGCCAACATGTCAAATTATCCACTATGTTTTGTAACTGAAAGGCCAACATGTCACATTATCCACCATGTTTTGTTACTGAAAGGCCAACATGTCACATTATCCACCATGTTTTGTTACTGAAAGGCCAACAAGTCACATTATCCACCATGTTTTGTTACTGAAAGGCCAACATGTCAAATTATCCACTATGTTTTGTAACTGAAAGGCCAACATGTCACATTATCCACCATGTTTTGTTACTGAAAGGCCAACATGTCACATTATCCACCATGTATTGATATTGTAAGGCCAACATGTCACATTATCCACCATGTTTTGTTACTGAAAGGCCAACATGTCACATTATCAACCATGTTTCCATGTTTTGTTACTGAAAGGCCAACATGTCACATTATCCACCATGCATTGATATTGTAAGGCCAACATGTCACATTATCCACCATGTTTTGTAACTGAAAGGCCAACATGTCTTATTATCCACCATGTTTTGTTACTGAAAGGCCAACATGTCACATTATCCACCATGTCTTGTTACTGAAAGGCCAACATGTCACATTATCCACCATGCATTGATATTGTAAGGCCAACATGTCACATTATCCACCATGTTTTGTAACTGAAAGGCCAACATGTCAAGTTATCCTTACATGTTTTGTAACTGAAAGGCCAACATGTCACATTATCCACCATGTTTTGTTACTGAAAGGCCAACATGTCACATTATTCACTATGTTTTCTAACTGAAAGGCCAACAAGTCACATTATCCACCATGTTTTGTTACTGAAAGGCCAACAAGTCACATTATCCACCATGTTTTGTTACTGGAAGGCCAACATGTCACATTATCCACCATGCATTGATATTGTAAGGCCAACATGTCACATTATCCACCATGTTTTGTAACTGAAAGGCCAACATGTCACATTATCTACCATGTTTTGTTACTGAAAGGCCAACATGTCACATTATCTACCATGTTTTGTAACTGAAAGGCCAACTTGTCACATTATCCACCATATTTTTTAACTGAAAGGCCAACTTGTCACATTATCTTCCATATTTTGTAACTGAAAGGCCAACTTGTCACATTATCTTCCATATTTTGTAACTGAAAGGCCAACTTGTCACATTATCTTCCATATTTTGTAACTGAAAGGCCAACTTGTCACATTATCTTCCATATTTTGTTACTGAAAGGCCAACTTGTCACATTATCTTCCATATTTTGTAACTGAAAGGCCAACTTGTCACATTATCTTCCATATTTTGTTACTGAAAGGCCAACTTGTCACATTATCTTCCATATTTTGTTACTGAAAGGCCAACTTGTCACATTATCTTCAATATTTTGTAACTGAAAGGCCAACTTGTCACATTATCTTCCATATTTTGTTACTGAAAGGCCAACTTGTCACATTATCTTCCATATTTTGTAACTGAAAGGCCAACTTGTCACATTATCTTATGTTGTTTTACGCCTTTTTCAACAATATTTCAGTCATATAGGCGGGTAGTTTCCTAACCATCGTTCCTGGAGAGTTACACCAGTACTTGACTACCTTCCTCCGCGCTAAACTACCAAAGCATCTCCCGGGGATCGAACCCACGCCAGAGAGGTAACTGGATTAGAAGTCATCGACTCACCCCTGGACTTGACACGCAATTGGGTAACACAGAAACAAATTGGGTATCATTGAAAAATTTATTTATTTGTGCAGATTAACCTTAACCAGATGATGTATGCTTGTTTTAGCTAAAAAGAATTTCTCACAACATCATTTAAGGCTCTGGCTTGGTAAGATAACTAAAATGTTTTGCAAGACTGCCCTGAATTATTATATTTTTCTCTTCCATGTTTTTGCCATTATGTTTAAAGCGGTGTAACCGTGCAGGAAGAAAATTGACCTCAGTCTGGGACACAATGATTATCACTTTAAAGTATAAGCTTTTCTGTAAACAAGAACCGGTTGATGCTCCCCGAGAAGGTTCTGGACACAGGAAAGTATAAAAAAAATGAACAAAGGGCAAAAACTCCAAAATTAGGCAAGGCGGAGTTATGTTTTTTTTGCACTGCACTTCTATTCAATGAGATCTATCTATCTATAAAGTTTCCTGACGAAAACTCTTATAGTTTCAGAGTTATGTCCCGGGTAAAATTTAAAGTGTAAAAATGAACAAAGGGCAATAACTCCAAAATTAGACCAGGCTTTGTTTAGGTTCTTTAAGCATTGCAGTTCTATCCAATGATTTCTAGCTACGTACAAAGTTTCATGTTGATAATCTCTAATAGTTTTAAAGTTATGTCCCGGATATAAGTCAAAAAGTAAAAATAAACAAAGGGCAATAACTTCAAAATAAGGCAAGGCAGAGTAATGATTCTTAAGCACTGCACTTCTACTCAATGAGACCTATCTATCTACAAAGTTTCATGTTGATATCTCTTATAATTTTAGAGTAATGTCCTCGACAAAGTTCAAAGTGTCAAAATGAACAAAGGGCAATAACTCCAAAAGTAGGCAAGAGAGTGTTACAGTTCTTGTGCACTGCAAACCTACTTAATGAGATCTATCTACCTACAAAGGTTCATGTTGATACCTCTTATAGTTTTAGAGTTATGTCCTGGACAAAGTTCAAAGTGTGAAAATAAACAAAGGGGATTCAAAGGGGAATAATTACAAAATAAGGCAAGGCAGAGTTACGGTTCTTGTGCACTGCACACCTACTCAATGAAATCTATCTACCTACAAAGTTTCGTGTTGATATCTCTTTTAGTTTTAGAGTTATGTCCTGGACAAAGTTCAAAGTGTAAAAATAAACAAAGGGGAAAAATTAAAAAATTAGGCAAGGCAGAGTTACGGTTCTTGTGCACTGCACACCTACTCAATGAGATCTTTCTACCTACAAAGTTTAATGTTGATACCTCTTATAGTTTTAGAGTTATGTCCTGGACAAAGTTCAAACTGTAAAATAAACAAAGGGAGATAATTCAAAAATTAGGCAAGGCAGAGTTAGGGTTCTTGTGCACTGCACACCTACTCAATGAGATCTATCTACCTACAAAGTTTCATGTTGATACCTCATCTACTTTTAGAGTTATGTCCCGGACAAAGTTCAAAGTGCAGAATAAACAAAGGGGGATAATTCAAAAATTAGACAAGGCAAAGTTATGGTTCTTGTGCACTGCACACCTACCAAATGAGATCTATCTACCTACAAAGTTTCATGTTGATACCTCTTGTTGTTTCAAAGTTATGTCCCAGACAAGAAAAGCGGACGGACGGACATACTCACAAAATGGTACTTATGTGACTTTTCCTTTGATCTTTTTTTGCCATTTTTAGTCACACAAGGCTTAAAAAAAGACACACAAGTAAAAATGGAATAAATAGGATCAAAGAGAATTTACTGTTACCCATTGTTCTCCAAGTCACACAAGTACCTCTGGGTTCGTACGGACAGACAGATGGACGCCAGGGGATATAACATAATATGCACTTTCGGGCATATAAAAAAGTTATGATCAATGACAGCACTGAGTGAGGCAACAGAAACGGGTACGCCAACATGATTATAACAATAACTTTTTTTTTTCGTAAAAATAAACCGAGCTGAAAATGAAAGGCTTAAGTGTATATGCATTTTCCTAAAATCATCTCCCTTTGATGCTGCTACTAGCTTTTGTAAGTAATGGTTACATTTTAAATTATAGTTAAACCATAGCAAAAAATAAAATCCCTGACTACTTACCATGTGAAATTTACCATATGCATCAGTAAGGCCATCATACACAACTGCATCCTAGGAAAAAAGTTCATAAAAGTTAACTATTTATTACCATCATTGTCACAGGATCAATTTAAACAAAATGGTTTCTTATTTCATATTTATGAAGAATATGGCATAATTATTCAGGATAATCACTACTTTTTTAACAGTCAATTAATTGTAAAGCTTTTACTATATACATCTGTGTAAAAAGCTGTGACCCCCCCCCCCCAGCGGGCCAAAACACCATTTTTGGAGAAGGGGCCTCAGCCTTTTTCTTAGGGAAAATATGCATGATTTTGGCATACTTTGGGTAAAGGGGTCTCAAATTTAACACAAACTTTAACAAGTTCTTCAAAATAAAAAAGCAAAAAGCACTGGGAAATACTAATAAGGCAGAAAAAGACCTTAATTCAACACCATCATTTAATTTGGTTCTAAATTCTATGGGAAAGTTCAAAAGACTGGGGAATTTTGAGGAACAAACTGGGGAAAAATAAGAGGCTAGTTAGGTTGGGGAAGCAGCCTATATTCAGCCTCTACAAAGAAGGGTTTTTTGGCCCTGCCGAGCCGAGCCAACTTTCACACTAGGGGCAAAATTGGAATAATTTTGGTAAAGGATTTTCTATTTTTAGCCCAAGAGACCCTAAAAGGGGTCAATCAAAATAATATGAGCAAACTTGATAAAAGACTACCTAAGAATGCTACAAGCAAAGTTGAGTGATCATCCATCAATATCTATAAATAGGCGTTATTTCTATTTTTAGCTTTAGCAGCCCCTAAAAGGGGCCAATCAAATTAATATGAGCAAACTTAATATAAGACTACCCAAGGATACTATAGACAATGTTTGATGATCATCCAGCCTTTAGTTCTGTAGAAGAAGATGTTTAAAGGTTTTTTTTCTATTTTTAGCCCTAGAGACCCCTAAAAGGGGCCAATCACTTTAATATGAGCAAACTTCATAAGACTACCCAAGAATGCTACAGACAAAGTTTGGTGATCATCCATAAATTAGTTCTGTAGTAGTTGATTTATAAAGGTTTTTTTTATTATCTCTGTTGACCCCTAAAAGGGGCCAATTGAAACAAGAATGTCGAACGACACATATACCCCCCTTTCTAGCCATTGACTCACATAATTGGTAATTTTATCAAAGAAACTTGCCAAAAATGGGTACATGGAAGTGTTCAATTATGGAAAAATCAACGGAAACCATTTTGACATTTAAGGCCCATGTGACATTGACCTTTGACCTAATGACCCCTAAATCAATAGAGGTCATCTAATTCTTATGACCAATAACTAGGTGAAATATGAAGACTTTGTGATTAATACTTTTCAAGATAATCAGCGGAAACCCTTTTGACATTTAAGGCCCCTGTGACCTTGACCTTTGACCTAGTGACCACAAAATCAATAGGGTTCATCTACTAGTGATGACCAATCACAATGTGAAATATGAAGACTATGTGATGAATACTTTTCAAGATAATCAGCGGAAACCATTTTGACATTTAAAGCCCCTGTGACCTTGCCCTTTGACCTACTGACCCCAAAATCAATAGGGGTCATCTACTAGTTATGACTAATCACTATGTGAAATATGAAGACTTTGTGATACATACTTTTCAAGATAATCAGCGGAAACCATTTTGACATTTAAAGCCCCTGTGACCTTGACCTTTGACCTAGTGACCCCAAAATCAATAGGGGTCATCTATTAGTTATGACCAATCACTGTGTGAAATATGAAGACTTTTGTGATACATACTTTTCAAGATAATCAGCGGAAACCATTTTGACATTTAAGGTCCCTGTGACCTTGACCTTTGACCTAGTGACCCCAAAATCAATAGGGGTCACCTACTAGTGATGACCAATCACTGTGTGAAATATGAAGACTTTGTGATACATACTTTTTAAGATAATCAGTGGAAACCATTTTGACATTTAAGGTCCCTGTGACCTTGACCTTTGACCTAGTGACCCCAAAATCAATAAGGGTCATCTACTAGTTATGACCAATCACTATGTAAAATATGAAGACTTTGTGATAAATACTTTTCAAGATAATCAGCGGAAACCATGTGGTCTACCGACGGACAGACCGACAGACCGACGGACGGACCGACAGACCGACATTAGCAAAACAATATACCCCCTCTTCTTCGAAGGGGGGCATAATAACATGAGCAAATTCAAGCGTGACTGTCACAAGGATGCTACAGACCAAATTTGAAGTAAATCTGCCCAGCCGTTTCAGAGAAGAAGACAATTGTTGATGCATGACAAGGGACGACGGAGCATCCCCCTTTGATACTTATAGCTCACCCTGAACCTTCGGTTCTGGTGAGCTAAAAATCAGTGAACCAGAAATTTTTTGATGAGATGCACAACCAGACATTGTATTGATCATTCCTGTAAAGTTTTGATGAAATTGCCAAGTAGTTCCTGAGAAGTTCCTGAGGAATAGTCCAAACAAGTTTTGTGACAGACGGACGGACAAGGCACAACGGGGGAAGTGATCCCTATATGTCGCCACTTCTCTGTATAGGCAACAAATAAACCCATGAAAACCCATGACCCCCTTGGATGGAATTTTTTTAACCCCAAGGCTGTTATTTGAACAAACTTCTTAGTGGTCCATTACTCAATGTTTCATGCCCAACATCTTAGCTCTAGCCTTTATGGTTTTAAAGGATATTGTTTATATGTAAGTGAACCAATGACCCCTAGGGCAGGGAAGTGATCCCTATATGTCGCCACTTCACTGTATAGGCAACACATAAACCTATGACCCCCTTGGATGGAATTTTTTTAACCCCAAGGCTGTTATTGGAACAAACTTCGTAGTGGTCCATTACTCAATGTTTCATGCCCAACATCTTAGCTCTAGCCTTTATGGTTTGAAAGGATATTGTTTATATGTAAGTGAACCAATGACCCCTAGGGCAGGGCCAATTTAGACCCCAGGGCAATTACATGAACAAGTTTAGTAAAGGCCCACTAGTTGCATGTCAAATATCTATGCTTTAGCCTTTACAGCTTCAGAGAAGATTATTTTTGAAGATTTATCTTTTGGTTGCCATAGCTACCAAAGTTCTGCATGGAATAAATTTTTGAACAAAAGGAAAATGATCAAAGGATCTTTACTCCAAAGTTTTGATATTATTGACCTTATGGTTTAGAAAGAGAATTGACCTTATGTGTTAGGAAGAGATTTTGTTCAAAGAAGTGTGGACAGATGAACATAAAGAACTTAAAGATGAACATGCAACCAAAATGGAACAAGGGACCATCACTTATGTTATTTCTATTTCTTTAATAAAGGGCCATTGGGCTCTTACTCTATTGTTATATGGAATGAACTCTACTGTTCTATTATATTCTGTTTACAATTAGATGGCCACTATCCCTGGTCCGTAGTGCTGAGGAACACAGGATGGTGTGTGATGACAAAAGCTCAACTTGAGCATGATTTGCTCTAATGTGCTAACAAGAGGGCCATGATGGCCCTGAAATCGTTCACCTGTATATATAAGCTCTCCATGACAAGGAATAAGTAATATTGTAAACTATAAACAAAAGCAGTTCATATTTGTATCTGAAATAGTGCATGTGTAAAAACATTACTGGTTGCTTTTGCTAAGGGAAAACAACAGTTCCAAAAGATGTGTACATATAAAGAAAATCAATGACAACCCAGGGCAGGGCTAATTTTTACCCTAGAGCTTTTACTTGAACAAACTTGGTAGACACAACTAGAAGATGTTTCATGTTTAATATCTAAGTTCAAGCTCTTTGGGTTTTTTAAAAGAAGATTTTTTTTAACTTTACACTATATACATATAAGCAAAATTAATAACATCCAGGGGCGGGGCCAATTTTGACCCTTATGCTTTTATTTGAACAAACTTGGTAGACACTCACAAGAAGATATTTAATGCTAAATATCTAAGATCTAGCTCTTTGAGTTTTTTTTAAAGATGACTTTTTTGGTTTTTACTATATACAAGGGCTATTATTTGAACTAATTACTAGAAGATATTTCATACTTAAAATCTAATCTTTAGTTATTTTGTATTTTAAAGAAGATTTTTTTTACTATTTACATATAATGAAAAAAAATGATCCCCTAGGGCGGGACCAATTTTGACCCCAGGGCTTTAATTTGGACAAACTTGGTAGACACTTACTACAAGATGTTTCATGCTTAATATGTAAGCTCTAGCTTTTTGGATTTTTTATAGAAGATGTTTTAAGTTTTTACTAAATACATATAAGGAAAATGAATGAAACCCCAGGACAGGGCCAATTTTGACCCCAGGGCTTTTAATTCAACAAACTTAGCAGTCACCCATTAGAAAATGTTTCATGCTTAATATCTTTGGGATTTTTAAAAGAAGATTTTTTTAAGTTTTTACTATATATCCCAACGTCGGGTATTTTCGTGGGAGGGGTATTTTCGTGGTTTCACCGTTTTCCGGTATAAATAAGTTTTGAGCGCACACATGGTTCCGGTCACGTAATTTTTTGGAAGTTTGCATGTAATGTAAACACTGCCAAAGATTTTTTCCAAAATGGAAGTTAGAAAGGTAAGTAGAAATAATATTTATATAGATACAAAGATTTTTACCTGTTTTCCTAAATCCCAAAAGTTTGACAATTTTCTAATCTGTCTTTAAAATACACCAGAGTCCTAAAAAGTTCGGCTGCAATTTGACTATTCTCCAAACCACAGGTCACGTGACTTTCATTGATGAAAAGTGGTCTCACATAGTAATTTTTTTTGCCAAAAGACTGTTGGTACCTTGTGACAAAAACCCGGAAGTGGTAAGTAAATTAATTTACATAACTATTCTGAATGGTCACCTCTTCTACCCTCAAGACAGGAACAAGTGCCCATATCTCACTATCAGGAAGTGTGGGAGATGTGATAAATGTCATAGATGGGTACACTTGACATTTGCTCAGAAGTTAGAGTTTTGAGACTTGGAGACACTTTCCTATGCCACAATTGTAAAAATTAAAGTATGTGAGACCTCCAAATGTAAATAGTGAACTGTTCCTTTTCCCGCCCTTTTTGTTATTTACGTTTTCTGACATATTAATCGTGTTGGAAACAATGATAATTGCTTGAGAAAGGATTTAATGCTAAAAAATATGGGTTTTCTTTCTTACAAACTGTTTTATCAGTAATTACATGTGACCCACGAAAATACCCCTCGGAGAAAAATGCTAGCTCTGCTTGAGTACCGGAAGGTATGTACATTGTATTTTTATGTTAAAAGTAGGTCCTCTGTTAAAAGTTATTCTTTTGTGTATGTAAATGAATGGTTTATTTAAACTTTATTGCATTTTATTAATTTTGTGAAAAATATGCTTTACGTCAACGACATTGTCCTTATACCCACGAAAATACCCTACGCGGGGATACATATGAGGAATATCAAAGACCCCCCCAGGGCAAGGCCAATTTTGACCCCCAAAGATTTTATTTGAACATACTGTGTAGACACTGACTAAATGATGATTCATGCCAAATATCTAAGCGCTAGCTCTTGCGTTTTTTTAAAAGAAGATTTTTCAATTTTTTTTCGTTCGGTTGCTATTGCAACCAGAGTTCTCCATGGAATTTAAAAGGATATTTAGGCAAAATAATGACAAAAATATTAAAATGATAAAGTAAACTCCACTTATAACGAACTCATTGGGACATTCAAAATCTGTTCCTTATATCCGGAGTTCCTTGTAAGCATATAGCGAATTAGTTCCTTGTATCAGAAGTTTTTATAGCGAACAGTTTTACATATAACGAACTAATGGTTTACCATCATCCTCCATTTAGAAGAGCATTTGATTAAGAGAAATAAGTCTTGAGTTCGTCATTGTTGTCTCCCTTATATTGATTAAGGAATAATTGCAATGTTGTTTCTTTTTAATATAATTTTTATGTATAAATATATCTATAAGACAAGAGCCACCGCCGGGCGGGGGCAACGCTCGACTTTTTACTTTTTCTAAACGCAAACATAGAAAGGTTTGAACATATATATTGATGTTTCCTTTTTATAAATTTAGTTGGTCTGTTTTGTCACATTAGTTTTGTTTATATATTTTGTATAAATATAAATATGAATAGAAACATTAAGCATATTTCTAAAAATAGCAACAGTACGCAATTTCTAAAAATAGCAACAATGACGCAATTTCTAAAAATAGCAACAATGACGCAATTTCTAAAAATAGAAAAAATGACGCAATTTCTAAAAATAGAAAAAAATGACGCAATTTCTAAAAATAGAAACAATGACGCAATTTCTAAAAATAGAAAAAAAAATGACGCAATTTCTAAAAATAGCAACAATGACGCAATTTCTAAAAATAGAAAAAAATTGACGCAATTACTAAAAATAGCAACAATGACGCAATTTCTTAAAATAGAAAAAGATGACGCAATTTCTAAAAATAGAAAAAAATGACGCAATTACTAAAAATAGCAACAATGACGCAATTTCTAAAAATAGAAAAAATGACGCAATTTCTAAAAATAGAACAAAAATGACGCAAATTCTAAAAATAGCAACAATGACACAATTTCTAAAAATAGAAAAAATGACGCAATTTCTAAAAATAGGAAAAAATGACGCAAATTCTAAAAATAGCAACAATGACGCAATTTCTAAAAATAGAAAAACATGACGCAATTTCTAAAAATAGAAAAAATGACGCAATTTCTAAAAATAGAAAAACATGACGCAATTTCTAAAAATAGAAAAAAAATGAAGCAATTTCTAAAAATAGAAAAACATGACGCAATTTCTAAAAATAGAAAAAATGACGCAATTTCTAAAAATAGAAAAACATGACGCAATTTCTAAAAATAAAAAAAATGACGCAATTTCTATAAATAGAAAAACATGACGCAATTTCTAAAAATAGAAACAATGACACAATTTCTAAAAATAGAAACAATGACGCAATTTCTAAAAATAGAACAAAAATGACGAAATTTCTAAAAATAGAAAAAAATGACGCAATTTCTAAAAATAGCAACAATGACGCAATTTCTAAAAATAGAAAAAAAATGACGCAAATTCTAAAAATAGCAACAATGACGCAATTTCTAAAAATAGAAAAACATGACGCAATTATATACATGTATATATATATATATATATATATATACCTGCATATATGTATATATATACACACACACATTTATATATATATTTATATATAATACATATACTATACATACACACACACCGATAAATGCACAATCTGAGAAAATTCAGTAATATAACCTTCAAGGTCAAGGTCATTAAAGAGCCCAAGCAAATTTGGGTTTGATAAACAACAAGGTCTGGTCCTTAAGAATGTTCTGTTATAATATGAAGTTTATCCCTTCAAAAATAGCAAAGTTACAGTCAGTTACTGCCAAACAATGAAAATTTTCAATTATTTGACCTTCAAAGGCAATGTCATTAATGAGTGAAGGTCAAGGTCTTTCGGTATATTTTTAACAGTTATCTTTGAAGATTATTATGTTCAAGTTTGAAGACAATCCATTCAAAAATAAACAAAGTTACAGCCAATAATAGCCAAAAAAATGAAAATTTCAATAATTTGACCTTCAAAGTCAAGGTCATTGATGAGTGAATGTCAAGGTCTGACTGGTTATTTTTAAGGGATATCCTTGAAGATTATTATGTTCAAGTTTGAAGACAATCCATTCAAAAATAACAAAGTAACAGCCAATAACAGCATGAACAAACAAAAATTGGACTTTTAACCTTGAAGGTCAAGGTCATTTATGGATGAAGGTCAAGGTTAGTGTGGTCTACTGAAAGGTCTTGTCCCAAGGGTTGTTGTGGCCAAGTATGAAGACAATACACCAAGAAATAAAAAAGTTATGATCCAGGTACAAGTTTTCGGACGGCAACGGCAACGGCAACGGAGACGGCAACGGCAACGCCGACCTGACTATAACAATACCTCTACTTTTTTTTTCAAAAAAAAAAAAGTCGAGCTAATAATTATATGATATGTACCATATTTGCAATATTGTTATTTATTAATGATACAGTATCATGCACAAAAAAAATCACTTTGCTTTGAAGAAGTCGCTAATTTTAGTTTGGGAATGTTTACAACTCTTCAGGTTAAATTCAATATCCAATAAACTTTTAAAAACTGTTTTTTCAACATGTGCATTAGACTCGAAGTATGACCTAATCTACTGCAAACAATCAATAGCTTCATTTTTTGACACAACCGGCAGATAATCTAAATAGATCTCGTCTTCGGAAAATTGACTGTCATCGTCATTATTTGTTCCTAATATATCCGCTACATTCGGCCAAGTTGTAATCTGTTCCGATGGAAACGAAAGTAGAAAATGCGTAATCTGTTTACGAGTTCGTTATAAAAGTGTAATTTTCTGTACTTTTTATGGCATTGGGACTAAAAAATGAGTTCCTTATAAGCGATAATTCCTTATAACCGTGTTCGCTGTAACCGTAATTTTTTACATTAAATTAAGAAGGGCAAAATTCGGGCCAAAAAATGTTGTTCCTTATAACCGGAAGTTCGCTATAACCGTGTTCGCTATATGTGAAGTTTACTGTATTATGTACTCGTATCACACTAAAATGACATTTCCTGAAGTTTCAGCATGAATTTCTGTTTAAATTCTATATATTTTGGGTTATAGGCGTAAACATATCTATATAGGTTGAACAAAATTAAGACCCGAATATAATCACCAAGTAGTTTTAAAACAAGTCACGTGACTTGAACAAACCCTTGAAGTTACAATACTAGATATTGTGGATATTGTATGATTGAAACAAGTCTGTCATTCATTTGACATGTACTTTAACGTTTCCCGTGTTCAATTTGACAACTTATTGTGAAATCCTAGTGCTCTAACCTGACCCACGCGGGTCAAGTTAGAAAACCACCATTTTATTTTTTATAGCGAGAAAGGTTTTGTTAATTTGGCTGTCTAATATATTCATTTTGAGGGCATTTACAGAATAATGAATGAAAAAATCAAAACTAAGAAATGAAAATTGTGTCTTCCTTTAATTCTTTATACAAGTTGACCACCAGAGGAACATTCCTGTAAAGTTTGGATGAAATTGGCTTAGTGGTTTATGAGAAGATGTCGTTTAAAGTAAAAGTTTACAGAGGGACGACGGACGGATGCTGGACGAAAAGTATCACAAAAGCTCACCATGTCACTTTGTGACAGGTGAGCTAAAACTGGAAACTATGTAAGTTCAATGAGCTCTTACTCACAAGAAGCTCAACCTTTCCATAAGGAGTCTGACCTCTCTTCAAGTAATAAGGTGCATTTGACATACTCTCCATGCCTCCAGCAACCATCACTTCCTGAAATAAAAAAAGTAAATTAAAGGGGAGTAAAGTGAATAGTGAACTTTAGTTTAGGTAAGGTAAGGTTAAGTAAAGTAAGTAAGTTTCATTTTCAAGGATACACATTTGGTTTCCTAGTTTTCCTTGACCTTGAGGTGACACATGGGCAACAATGCACATCCCGTTGTTGAAGTGAACATTTGAGCCAAGTTTGAAGACAAGAGCGTTCGGTGATCACATGTGTCGCCTCATGATGGCCAATTTCATGTTGGGACAAGTTTTGTGACAGACGGACAGACAGATGGAAAGTGCACAACTAGACTTGGTACTGATCATTCCTGTAAAGTTTGGATAAAATTGCACCAGTAGTTTATGAGGAGTAGTCCAGACAAGCTTTTGTGTATCTGGCAACACATAGAAAAAAACACCTTTTTATCAAAGGGCCATAACTCGGCCAAAAATCATTCAACCGGAAAACCTGTGCAATATGCCCAAGGACTTGAGCTACAGATCAATCCTGTAAAGTTTCACTGAAATTGCATTAGTTGTATAAAAGAAGTAGTCCGGAAAAACTTTAAAAATAAAAATTATTAAAGGGCCATAACTCTGACAAAAATCATTGAACCGGAAAATGCTGACAATATGCACAACTAGACTTGGTACTGATCATTCCTGTAAAGTTTGGATGAAATTGAACCAGTAGTTTATGAGGAGTAGTCCGGACAAGCTTTTGTGCATCTGGCAACACACAGAGAAAAAAACACCTTTTTATCAAAGGGCCATAACTCGACCAAAAATCATTCAACCGGAAAACCCGTGCAATATGCACAAGGAATTGAGCTACAGATCAATCCTGTAAAGTTTCATTGAAATTGCATTAGTGGTTTGAGAGAAGTAGTCCGGACAAACTTTATAAATAACTAGAAATGTGTCATCATGCCACGGATGCCCCCGCATGCAGCCAAAATTTCAGATGTTATAATATTTAGTTCCAAATTTGTTTGCACAAATTATTTTTTTCATTTTAAGTTCAAAGCCCTTAAAACTTTTCAATGTTAACACAAACCATTTTCATACTATGTTCAAGGCACTGAAATTATTCAGTATAGCATATTGCATATTTGTAGCCAAAATAATGGCTACATACATTTCCACAAAAGTATGAGTGCTGAAACTGAAAGTTCAAAATTCTTCCAACATTCAGGAAAGATAAGTTTGTCCAAAATCATTGAACCACAACCAAATTCAAACTTAAACTGCTTATTCCTAAGATGTATCTATATTATTTTCAAAGTGAAAGGGACATTACTCTGCCAAAAATCATTGAACCATGACCAAATTCAAACTTGGCCTGGGCATTTCAAAAACATATCTATATATCAAATTTGAATTGAATGTGTTGTACCGTTGGGGAGATAATAAACGGAAACTGAAAATTTCATATTATTTTCAAAGTGAAAGGGGCATAACTCTGCAAAAAAATTTTGAACCATGACCAAATTTGAACTTGACCTTCGCATTCCTTTGACGTATCCATATGTCAAGTTTGAGATGAATGTGTTGTACTGTTGGGGAGATAATGAATGGAAATTGAAAATTTCATATAGTTTTCAAAGTAAAAGGGGCATAACTCTGACAAAAATCATCGAACCATGACCAAATTCAAACTTGACCTATATTTTCTCATGACATATCCATATGTCAAGTTTGAGTCAAATCTATTGTACCGTTGGGGAGATAATGAATGGAAACTGAAAATTTCATATTATTTTCAAAGTAAAAGGGGCGTAACTCTGCTAAAAATCATCAAACCATTACCAAATTCAAACTTGACCTGTATTTTCTCATGACATATCCATATGTCAAGTTTGAGATGAATGTGTTGTATCGTTGGGGAGATAATGAACGGAAACTGAAAATTTCACATTATATTCAATGTAAAAGGGGCATAACTCTGCCAAAAATCATCGAACCATGACCAAATTCAAACTTGACCTGTATTTTCTCATGACATATCCATATGCCAAATTTGAGTTGAATGTGTGCAACCGTTCTTAAGATAATGAACGGAAACTGATGTTGACGGAATGACAGAATGACGGAAGGACAGAATGACGGAACAGGGTAACACTATATGCCTCGGCCATTACATGGCGGGGGCATAAAAATTATTAAAGGGCCATAACTCTGACAAAAATCATTGAACCGGAAAATGCTGACAATATGCACAACAAGACTTGGTACTGATCATTCCTGTAAAGTTTGGATGAAATTGCACCAGTAGTTTATGAGGAGTAGTCCGGACAAGTTTTGTTACGGACGGACAGACAGACAGACGACGGAGAAGTGATCCCTATATGTCGCCACTACTCCGTAGAGGCGACACAAAAATCCTTCAATTGGTATAGGATCTATAGAGCGGACAGGAAAATTGAGCCGTACTGACCGACCGACCGACTGACTGACGTGACAAAGCGAATCCATTATAGCCCTCCCCTCACATTTTGTGGTGGGGGTATTACAAGCAATTATCATAGTATTGCAAGCAATCCATAAGTCCCCTACTGGTTAGAACCTCAGCAACATTCTGATGGGCCAGTGGCCATTCAATTATACCATTGAACGAATGAATGAATGACATGAATGAAATCTTTTGAGTTCTAAGTTTGTCTATATCATAGTTATGTGTTAGTTTCCCTGCCAAACAAGGAAATTATGTTTATACAAAAAATAATAAAAAGGTCCAATTTTCTCAGGATGAATAAGTATAACAAATGTTTCAGCTTTTCTCTATTTTAAGTAAATTTTTTTGGGAAAAATCTTTAAAAGTGATATCAGGAAACAGTTTTTATGAACAGACACACAGACAGACGGAAGGAGACTCTAAAGCTATTTTTTTTTACCTAAATATAACAGAGGAGATAACTCTTGAAATAAAGATGCTAGATTTATGAACAGTCATACATTATGATACCATTTAAAGTATGCACAAAGAAGAAAAGTAAAAAAATAACAATTTTCAAATATACCATTAATATGTATTGTAACAAAGATAAAAATTAAAAAAAATAAATATAATGTAGGTGTTGATAAAGAATGTTTATTTTGAATTTGAAGAAAATCCATATAAGTTAAAGAATGAATAAGAACAATTCAAAGTTTACTTTTTAAGGAGGAGATAATTCTGGAAATATGGATTCTAGATTAATAAACCTTCAAATATTATTTTGATGTGAGAGTTTGAAGTAAATCCTATAACCTTTTACCCCATGAGCATATTGCGAAAAATGGCCATTTTCATTGAAAAGCCTCCTGTAACAAGTTCAAACTGCTATGAAACTATGAAAAATGCTTCAATACTTATGAAACTTGGCACAAATGTTGACTAGACCATAGCTTCTGTAACAGCATGCTCAGTCGTAAATTTCCTGTTACTATGGCAATGAGGGGACATCTCACAAGAGCTGTCGGTAGGACAGCAACGCTCGACTATTCTTCGTGCTTGATAGTAAAAAAATGCCTGATACAGTTACCTCCTCCTGTTTACAGGTTATGGTCATGATGGTGAACAAGTGTGCAAAGTTTCAAAGCCATATATCAATGGACTTTGAAAATATTTGAACTATTACAAAAACTTTAATGTAAATTCTAAGTCGAAAAAGGGGCATAATTCTGTCAAAATGCTTAATAGAGTTACCTCCTCCTGTCTACAGGTTGGGGTCATGATGGTGAACAAGTGTGCAAAGTTTCAAAGCCATATGTCTATGGACTTTGAAAATATTTGAACTATTACAAAAACTTTAATGTAAATTCTAAGTCGAAAAAGGGGCATAATTCTGTCAAAATGCTTGATAGAGTTACCTCCTCCTGTCTACAGGTTGGGGTCATGATGGTGAACAAGTGTGCAAAGTTTCAAAGCCATATGTCTATGGACTTTGAAAATATTTGAACTATTACAAAAACTTTAATGTAAATTCTAAGTCGAAAAAGGGGCATAATTCTGTCAAAATGCTTGATAGAGTTACCTCCTCCTGTCTACAGGTTGGGGTCATGATGGTGAACAAGTGTGCAAAGTTTCAAAGCCATATGTCCATGGACTTTGAAAATATTTGAACTATTACAAAAACTTTAATGTAAATTCTAAGTCGAAAAAGGGGCATAATTCTGTCAAAATGCTTGATAGAGTTACCTCCTCCTGTCTACAGGTTGGGGTCATGATGGTGAACAAGTGTGCAAAGTTTCAAAGCCATATGTCAATGGACTTTGAAAATATTTGAACTATTACAAAAACTTTAACATAAGTGGTTACGCCGACGCCGACGCGGACGCCGACGCTCGGGTGACTGCAATAGCTCTACTTATTCTTATCGAATAGTCGAGCTAAAAATTGCCAAAAATCACTATTTTGCATTGTTTTTTTTCCATCAAAGCTGATTTCTCAGAAACAAATATTTAAAGTTTGAAGTAAATACCTTAAGAAATAAAGAAGTTATAGTGAAAAAGCGTAAAAACTGGAATCAGAAATCTTGAAATTCAATCTATTTGTTGCCATAGCAACCAGAATTTTCAACATAGGAAGTAAAGAAAAGAATGTGCATAATCTCCAGACTGCCATCTGCCCACATTTCAAGTTTCATAAAAATATTTTCAGTACTTTTTACGTTATCACTTGATCCAGTTTATGTGTTAAATTTGCCATATTTTCAGTCTATTTGTTGTCATAGCAACCAGAATTTTCAACATCTGAAGAAAAGAAAAAGACATGCATAATCTCCATACTGCCATCTATCCATATATCAAGTTTCATAAAAATATTTTCAGTACTTTTTAAGTTATCCAGTTTAGTGGACGGACTGACAGACGGAAGTTCTAACTGTTACAGGAGAGTAATAATTTGGCTACTCTATTGTTCTCTCTATTGTTCTTTTTAGCCACACCACATAAAAGCATTACAGAATGAATGACATCAAAGAGAAAGAACAGTTACCTATTGTCCCTCTAGCCACATAATTACTGTCCTGTGAGTGCCGACGGACGTTCCAACATCTTGGCTTTAGGGGCTATTTTCTTTGTTATTTTCTTTGTTTTCTTAAGGGCTACTAGCCCCTAAACCCTTTGATCAAGGAATGAACCTATTGTTCTCTTTTGTTCTCTTTAATGTTATATAGCCCCTAAACCCAAAATGTTTGCTCGGACAGAGGGACGGATGGATGGACAGACGGACAGAGGGTAAACCTAAAGTCCCCTTCAGTTAAACCGGTAGGGGACTAATAATGTTAGCTAATAGCTTAAAATTTGACAAAAAGCATATCATACATAAGTGTATACTTAATTATTGAGGGTAGTGTATATATTTCATCACATACCTGACTACCACACATATATTTTATCACATACCTGACTATCACACATACATTTTATCACATACCTGACTACCACACATGTATTTTATCAAATACCTGACTACCACACATGTATCTTATAACATACCTGACTACCACACATGTATTTTATCATATACCTGACTCCACACATGTATTTCATCACATACCTAACTATCACACATGTATTTTATCACATACCTGACTACCACACATATCTTTTATCAAATACCTGACTATCACACATGTATTTTCTCACATACCTGACTACCACACATACATTTTATCAAACACCTGACTACCTAACATAAATTTAATAACATACCTGACTACCACACACGCATGTTATCTACACCGGACTACCACACATGCATTTTATCACATACCTGACTACCACAAATATATTCTATAACATACCTGACTACCACACATATATTCTATAACATACCTGACTACAACACATATATTCTTTTTGATTGATTGATTTATTTGTGTATATATATATGTCATATTACAAAAAAACAAATTAAGACAATTTATCACAGTTATATCTATCACATTGTTTTTAACACAGTAATTAATTGAAAAATAATAACTTTACATTCATAATTAAATCAAAGATCTTGTTGACTTCAAGACAATATATACAACACAGGATAACCCATGAAAGTTCAATATAAAATAGAGAACTTATTTCCAATGGGGTCCTTTGATGGTAAAGAATATATTTTCTTGAGAACTGGCATTCAGGTCCATACTTAGAGATGATATACTGGACTGATGTTAAATTTCTAAGATCAAATAATATTAATTTCTATTGCACATTATGTTAATTACATATATCACATATTTGCAGGAATAATACTATGAATATGACTAGTTAACACACCAATGAAAGATATCTATTTATATATATCACAAAACCAATCACAAGATACATATAAAACATACTATATTGATTAAAACAATTATCTCTAAAACTAATAAAAAATAAAATCAGCTTGTTCAAATTGTTTCATATTTTTGCTTAGTTCAGCTTTTACTTTCTTTTTAAAGTTAAAAAAGTTACTTTCCTTTTTAATATCAAGTGGGAGCATGTTCCAATCCCTAATACCCTGGTAAAAAAATGTACTTTTTGTAAAACTATTAACATGGGGTATATGAAAGTTCCCGACACTGTTTCTACTATTATAACAATGAACATCAGACTTTAAAGAAAAGCTTTCATACATATAAGATGGACACTTTTTATTAAATATTTTGTGTACATGATTAAGTCTTAACTGCATGACTCTATTTTCTATATTAAGCCACCCAATACTGCTAAAATCAATAACTTTCAATGATTTTCTAGAGGAATAACCATGAATATAACGAACAACTTTGTTTTGTGCTACTTGAAGTTTATGTTTAAGTTGTTTAGTAAGGCCACTATACCAAGATGAGCTGGCATAATCGAAGTGACACTGTATTAAAGAGTTACATAATAGTTTTCTTAGCTCCATATTCAAACTGTTGCCTTGTCTGTACAAAAATTTTAATCGAGAGTTTACTTTTTGTACTATATTATCAACAATAGAAGTGGCTGAGAGATCATTATTCTAGAACATACCTGACTACCACACATGATGCTTTGGGCTGCCATCATTATCGATTTCATACCAGATGCACAAACTTTGTTCACAGTCGTAGTTGGTGTTGTTATAGGTAAACCTAGGGTAAAAAAAAATCTTAAAACTGATAAATTTTATTTGCACTGAAGTTGAAAGACCATTTTTAAACATGTTTTCTCAAAATTCTAGTTGGAATGTAACAAGTAAAATGATATGTTTGTGACATTAACAAGAGATTGATAAATTCTAGAATTTTATATTAAAATTCCCAGAATCAAAAATCACTGTTTCATTCTGGATGCAGAAATAACATTATCTTAAAGGTTTTAAATAAAAAGTATCTATGATACTAGACTGTATTTGTGAAAAAAGCTATGTCACAGCATTATCACAACACTAAATAGTAAGAACAGGTGTAGATTTTTTTGGGGTTCCTATACAATTCAACCTTGCCATAATGCAGGAGTGTCCAGTGAATTTGGGTTATATTTGAGCCGGTCAAATAAAAAACAAGGTGCATATGTGTCTCATGTTCTTATACAAAGGCCATAGTATGATAACTGATTCAAAATAAAAGTATTCTTACTTGATAAAAATTTTGGTATAAATTAACTGTATTATATAGCAGTAATACAGTTACAATTATTTTTTTAATACTATCTTTTCAATTAAGCATTACCTGCTTCTGAATACAACTAGAAAAGTGTCCATAGGACATGGGTGCCCCTCAAGGAACAATTAACACAATATAATGAAACGTTTTTTACTAAGTCAAGGCAATAACTCTACAATACTGGATAAATCTAAAAGCAAAATCTAAGGTGTACAACTACACATGCTGACCCACATTCCAGTTCAGTTTCATGACTCTAGGTTAAATAAATTTTAAGCTACACATGACACAAATTGAAAATTTCAAGTTTTCGCTAAGTCAAGGGCAAAAAAAATAAATTCACAAGCAAAACACAAGGTGCACAAAGTCATATTCTGATCAACATTACTGTAAAGTTTCATGACCCTATGTCAAATGCTTTTTGAGTAACATGTAACACAAGTTGAAAATTGCAAATTTTCAATAAGTCAAGGGCAATAACTCTACAAATACATAATAAATCCACACAAAAATACCCAGGTGCCCAATAACACATGCTGATAACATTCCTGTAAAGTTTTATGACCCTAGGTCAAATACTTTTTGAGCTACATATGACATAAGTTGAAAATTGCAAATTTATACTAAGTCAAGGGCTATAACTCTAAGAATACAAAATATATCAACACGAAAATACCCAGGTGTACAACTACACATGCTGATCAACATTCCTGTAAAATTTCATGACCCTATGTCAAATACTTTTGAGCTATATGCGGCACAAATTGAAAATTGAAAATTTTCACTAAGTCAAGGGCAATAACTATAACAAAACATAATATATCCACAAGCGTTACCACAGGTGCACATGTTCACATGCTGAGCAAAATTCCTGTTAGGTACCATTTAAAATCATCATTATATACATAGTGCAAATAATAATGTCAGTATAATCCCTGCAAAGTGGTAGAGGTCATGACCTCATCTCTGAAATTTTGCTAGTAGTGGCAGAGGTCGTGACCTTTAAAATACCTCCTTTTTATGTATAAAAGACATTCCAATAAGAGTTGTTTCCCTTTCATTATTTAACTATGATTTGAAGAAAAGCAATGAATTCCTGTGGCATTTCAAATTTTAACCCCAAAGCTAAAATTTAAATAATCTTACGCCCGGGTGTAGATTTTCCGAGGTTTGTGAAAAAAACCATGGAAACTGCTTCAAAAACCTTGGAAATAAACCAGTTTTACAAGTTTTTTTTTAATGCCAAGGTTTTTCTTTAAACCTTGGAAACTTTATCCAAGGTTTTTGGTATAAAATCCTTGGAAATAAAGAAAACCTTGGAAACTATCTTGGAATTTAGATACTCTGCCAAAAATCAGCTTGGAAAAAGCTTGGAAATGAAGAATTTTGTCATTTTTTTGCTCGGAAAAGAACTTAGAAAATTTAAGTAAATTTGTTGGAAACACTTTGCCAATATTTAGCTTGGAAATGACCTCAGAAATTTGTACTTTACTAAATTTCATCTCGGAAAATGGTAAACCATAATGGTAATCATGATTTAACTTAACAAGGGCATCAAAAGCAATGATCAACAGATAAAGCTGGCAGATTTACTCAAACCAAGCTACCAACCCGGCTGTAGATTGCCTATGGATATTTATTTAATCCATGGTCAGAGCAAACAGTTGTCCATGGTTAGTCCATGCACGACAGCATGGTCCAGGGAAATCAATTTTCAGTATGGACATTGTCAATGGCCAACTACCTTCTCTATAATTTTTTTCTTTAAATTTCTGAAGCAATTTATTTGGGAAGAATCAAGTGTGAAAACATGGAAAATTTAAATCAATAAAATACATTTATTAATGGCTATAAATGTATTGCATCTAATGATAATAAATGAAATACTATTCAAATAACTGATGATCAGAAAGACTTTAGACAAAAAATTTGTAAAAATTTTTTTATTATTTATAATAATCGTTCCTAGATATCTTCTCCATTTTTAAGAATAATGTAAGAGCAAAACTATAATACATGCCATATAAAATAGTATATTCTACAAAAAAATCTGTGACATGTTACATTCAGATTACAATTTACTATGCCATTAATTTATGTGTACAATAAACATACAAATTTATTAATTGTCCTTTAAATATAATTATGTACAATTAAATGTCTGAAATATAATAACCAGTATGCTTGTTAATTTCTTATAATTAGGATAAATAAATACTACATCCACTAAGATTTCACACACAGAATATAACACACTGATCAGATAAAACTAATGGCACCCCAGGTGGTTTCCTCTATCTAAGCATGATCAATCTTCTCATTGGGCATTCTGGGATAGGCCAGATTGTTCCATGTGATTATTCAGGGGGAGTCTGGGTTTTTATACATTCCAAAGCAATAAGTCTAAAATGACATTGCAACAGTGATTCTCTTTCAAGAACTGATTAAAATTTTCAACTTTTACATTTATTTATCAATTGATATTTTTGTACCTTCAATAAATGTAAAATTAAAATGATGGTGGCTTTGATATTTTGGGACCACCCCTGTTTCACATAATAATAAACCTATCCGACATACTGTTGAAAAATTTGAATCTCAGACAATAGTGGGTCAAGTGGTTATAGTTGGAAATAGTGGAAACATGGATTTATTTAAGCAATTTTGGAAATATCTTGTTTTAAATGTTAGGGAGCATATTATGGAATTTTCAAAGAAAACGTTTATCTAAGTGTGACAAGATTCAGGAAATGTTTGGTTGTTGTAATTGAACCTAAAGATCAATGACCTGAGACAGGAAGATAAAAGAAACATAATAGTGAAAAAGGTTCAGGTAAATAACTTTTAGATACATTTATGCAGAAAAACTGTGTTTTTTTCTTCAAACAAGTATTAAATACAAACTATTTTAGATCTATATTTTTAACCTTTGTAAGCTAGTTTAAATACAATTGTTTAGAAGATATTTTATGATTTTATTTATACTGATGAATGTTATGTTTGTCTATGATTGTATTAACAAGATGAATGCACCAAACTATGATGACATTATTCATAAACTTTCATCTTTCATCTATTATTTGAATCTACAAATATTTAGTTACAGAGTCAGATTAAAAGCAAGTTTGCAGGTGTTCCAAACTACAAGAAGATGGCAATCCAGTGTCTTATCATAGTACTAGAAATGTGTCATCATGCCACGGATGCCCCCGCATGCAGCCAAAATTTCAGATGGTGCTTTAATTATTTTTTTCATTTTAAGTTCAAAGCCCTTAAAACTTTTCAATGTTAACACAAACCATTTTCATACAATGTTCAAGGCATTGAAATTATTCAGTCTAAACCTTTTAAAAATAGCATATTGCATATTTGTAGCCAAAATAATGGCTAAAAGTAAGAGTGCTGAAAGTGAAAGTTCAAAATTTTTCCAACATTCAGGAAAGATAAGTTTGTCTTAAATCATTGAACTACAACCAAATTCAAACTTAAACTGCTTATTCCTAACATGTATCAATATTATTTTCAAAGTGAAAGGGACATAACTCTGCCAAAAAATCATCAAACCATGACCAAATTCCAACTTGACCTGCCCATTCCTTTGACATATCCATATGTCAAATTTAAGTTGAATATGTAACACTGTTGGGTAGAAAATGAACAGAAGCTGTAAATTTCATATTATTTTCAAAGTGAAAGGGGCATTACTCTGCCAAAAATCATTGAACCATGACCAAACTCGAACTTGGCCTGGGCATTCCAAAAACATATCCATATGTCAAATTTGAGTTGAATGTGTTGTACCATTGGGGAGATAATAAACAAAAACTGAAAATTTCATATTACTTTCAAAGTGAAAGGGGCATTACTCTGCCAAAAATCATTGAACCATGACCAAATTTGAACTTGACCTGCACATTCCTTTGACACATCCATATGTCAAGTTTGAGTTGAATGTGTTGTACCTTTGGGGAGATAATGAACAGAAACTGAAAATTTCATATTATTTTCAAAGTAAAAGGGGCATAACTCTGCCAAAAATCATCGAACCACGACCAAATTCGAACTTGACCTGTATTTTCTCATGACATATCCATATGTCAAGTTTGAGTTGAATATGTTGTACCGTTCGGGAGATAATGAACGGAAACTGAAAATTTCATATTATTTTCAAAGTAAAAGGGGCATAACTCTGCCAAAAATCATCGAACCATGACCAAATTCGAACTTGACCTGTATTTTCTCATGACATATCCATATGTCAAGTTTGAGTTGAATGTGTTGTACCGTTGGGGAGATAATGAACGGAAACTGAAATTTCATATTATTTTCAAAGTAAAAGGGGCATAACTCTGCCAAAAATCATCGAACCATGACCAAATTCAAACTTGACCTGTATTTTCTCATGACATATCCATATGTCAAGTTTGAGTTGAATGTGTTGTACCGTTGGGGAGATAATGAACGGAAACTGAAATTTCATATTATTTTCAAAGTAAAAGGGGCATAACTCTGCCAAAAATCATCGAACCATGACCAAATTCAAACTTGACCTGTATTTTCTCATGACATATCCATATGTCAAATTTGAGTTGAATGTGTGCAACCGTTCTTAAGATAATGAACGGAAACTGATGATGACGGAATGACAGAAGGACGGAATGACGGAACAGGGTAACACTATATGCCCCGGCCATTACATGGCGGGGGCATAATAAAGCAGAGGAATATACTGGAAAGTCATTGGCATTGGCACAAAGGAAGCCAACTGTAGACCAGGAAAGGCTTCAAGGAATATACTAAAGTATGTTTTTTGTTTTAAAACTAGGTTTTGAAAGTTTCAATTTGAAATTTAAATGAATGATGGTATCTGGAACTGATTTTTATACCCCCGTTTGAAAAACGGGACGTATTATGGGAACGCCCCTGGCGGTCGGGCGGCGTCCAATTTTGTCCGGAGCATATCTCCTACATGTATGGAGGGATTTTAATGAAACTTCATAGAAATGTTCACCCCTATGAGGAGCAGTGTCGCGCACATGAACCAGGTCTCTAGGTCAAAGGTCAAGGTCACACTTAGAGCTCATTGAAAAATGCTTGTCCGGAGCAAAACTTCCACATGTAGAGAGGATTTTCAATATTACTTGGCACAAATGTTCACCATTGTGAGGCGGAGTGACATGCGCAAGATTCAGGTCCTTGCGGCCAAGGTCAAAGTTCAGATAAAAATATGAAGATGTGTATATGGACCATTGAGTCATCATTTATTGAGGGATTGTAACACAAATGGTCATAATCAAGACTATGGCTGTGATACATTGAATTTAGGTCAATATATACAAGGTCAAGGTCACTAAAGATGATGAAATATCCAGATTTTGTCCGGAGCATATCTCCTACACGCATGGAGGGATTTTATTGAAATTTCATAGAAATGTTCACCATTATGAGAAGCCATGTCACGCATATGAACTAGGTCTCTAGGTCAAAGGTCAAGGTGACACTTAGAGCTCATTGAAAAACACTTGTCCAGAGCAAAACTTCCACATGCATAGAGGGATTTCAATATAACTTGGCACAAATGTTCACCATTATGAAGCGGAGTGTCGCGCACAAAATTCAGGTCCCTGCAGCCAAGGTCAAGGTCACACATAGAGGTCAAAGTTTAGATAAAAATATGAAGATGTGTATAGGGACGATTTTATCATCATTTATTGAGGGATTGTAACACAAATGGTCATTATCATGACTACGGCTATGACACATGTACTTTAGGTCAATATTTGCAAGGTCAAGGTCACAAAAGATGGTGAAATATCGAGATTTTGTCTGGAGCATATCTCCCACATGTATGGAAGAATTTTTATAATACTATATGGAAATGTTCACCACCATGATATGTATTGCTCCATGCATGATCCAGGTCAAAGGTCAAGGTCACACTTAGAGCTCATTGAAAAAGGCTTGTCGGGAGCAAAACTTCTACATTCATTGGGGGATTTCAATATAACTTGGCACAAATGTTCACCATTGTGAGGCTGAGTGTCGCACGCAAAATTCAGATCCCTGCGACCAAAGTCAAGGTTACACATAGAGGTCTAAGTTCAGATAAAAATTTGAAGATGTGTATAGGGACCATTTAGTCATCATTTATTGATGGATTGTAGCACAAATGGTAACTATCATGACTACAGGTTTGACACATTTAATTTAGGTTAATATTTGCAAGGTCAAGGTCACTGGAGATGATTAAATATCCAGATGTTGTCCGGAGCATATTTTCTACATGCATGGAGGAATTTTAATGTTACTTTATAGAATTGTTCACCACCATGAGACGTAGTGCCCTGCACATGAACCAAGTCTCTAGGTCAAGGTGAAGGTCACAGTTAGAGCTCATAGCAAAACACTTGTCTGGAGCAAACCTTCTACATGCATAGAGGGATTTCAATATAATTTGGCACAGATGTTCATCATTGTGAGGCTGAGTGCCGTGCATAAAATTCAGGTACCTGCGACCAAGGTCAAGGTCACACATCCTGTGCATATCTTCCCTACTGATTTGTTTTAAGGTTCATTTAACAACACAGTGCCAATGATAAAAACTTGCATGCTAGATAACACTTATCCATAATGCCCCCATCTCCATCTAAAGCTTTCGTAAACGGGCGTATTTTGTGACTATGGCACCCTTGTTATTATTGATACTTGAAATGCTGTCAATGTAATATCAGATGACTCTTCAGCTTTATTGTTGCAGGAAAACATTTTATGCCCCTTTGAGCAGACAGATACAGTCAGTGTAGGCAATCAGAATCACCTTATAAAAAGTGTTATTTTTTGCAATATTTTTAGAGTGCTTTAGGTTGGAACATCCATATGACATAATCTAAAATAATAGTAACAGACGTTGCTTATTTTCTAAACATTGCAGAATTGTCACACTGCTAACAAAAGTTTTTTCTTGAAATCTTAACACTAAATACTGATGAATAAAAAATAAAAATCAACATGAAAAAAATTAAATTCATTATTTCAAAACAAATTAGACAAACATTTAAAGTTACTACAGAAAAGGTCATTTGAAAATATTAAAGCCTTCATTTTAAACAATAGCTATCTAAACAACTTGTCATTATAGTAGTTTTGGATCACTCAAAAGATATATTTCCTTTAATACACAAGTGCTGATCTTTTAAAACAATATATCAACTTATATTTTTGTCTATGGAAACATAAGGAATGTATTAGTTTGTTTTTATTGATGAATAAAAAAGAAATTAAATGATGTAATTCTGATTGCCTACACATACTGTACTGTCCTGAGTATAACCACAGGTGTTCCTTAATCCTGGGCTGAATAGCTCCCTCAGAGGGAAGAAGCCCATCCTGGCTTCTAGAGTCAAAAATTCAATGTTGTAAGGCAAGTTTGAAGTTGTTGAGCCTGACCACATGGAGAGGGAAGTGCCCAGTAGTGATTTTATACAATTGTATTTTTTTAACTTCTTTCAATGGCTGTACTTTATTAAATATTAACATTATTTATTTCAGGTATTGTATCCAAGCACTTTACACATGTGACCCCTGTGACGGTGAGGGAAAAACTTGGGGACACTTGGGGCAGGGCCAATTTTGACCAAACGGCTTTTATTTGTACAAACTTGGTAGACACTCACTAGAAGATGTTTCAAGCCAAATATCTTAACTCTAGCTCTTAGGGTTGTTTAAAAGAAGATATTTAAAGATTTTTCTTTTGGTTGCCATGGCAACCAGAGTTCTGCATGGAATAAAATTCTTTGAACAATTATTAAAGGTGACCACCAAAGGAACATTCCTGTGAAGTTTGGATGAAATTGGCTCAGTGGTTTATGAGGAGATGTCATTTAAAGCAAAAGTTTACTGACGGAGGACGGACGTCAGACGGCCGGACGCCGGACGAAAAGCGATCACAAAAGCTCACCCTGTCACTTTGACAGGTGAGCTAAAAAAAAATCCTGGGAAATTATTTTACGAGGTTTTTATTCTGAAATCCTTGGAAATCGTTCCAATACTCCGAGGTCTTATTTTTTACGAGGTTTTTTTTAAAAAAAAACCTCGGAAATTTTTTACAAGGTTTTATACCCTCTCCCTATTTTTCCAAGGTTTTCTTAATAGCAAAGTTTTGCATTTTCTCGTTCCAATACTCTGAGCCAAAAACCTTGGAATATCTACACCCGGGAAGTAGAGGTTCACTTTTAATGTTTCATACTAAATATCTAAACTTAGCACTTGTAGTTTTGAAGAAAAAGATTTTTAAGTGTATAAATATAAGGAAAACACATTAACCCTTGGGCAGAGTAAATTTTTACCCCAGGGCTCTTATCTAAACAATCTTGGTAGAGGTCCACCTGAGAATACCTTATGCAAAATATGCTGATGCTATGGTGGCATAAAAATATTTTACCTGCTCCCAAAGTTGCCTGTCTACAAGGGGCCTGCCCTTCCATGCCTTGTAACACATTGCCCATATACACCTCCTGTACAGCATCCTTTGGAATTCCTTTGAGGAAAAGAAACCAACTGCATACAACAATTACTTCAATTGTCACTTATTTACAGCACTTGTCTTTATTAACAAATTAAATCTGCATGTATGAGAGTTATAATACTAGTATTAAACTTTAAAGGTATATTTTATGCTCAAGTATACTGGCATGCGAGCAGTTCCCGTACAAAAATCGTAGTTACTTAAACATTATTTTTTATTACGCTCACTCACCAAAAAATTGAATGTTACACATCAATATTCGGCTCGTCAAACAAATCATGGAAATTCCATCATGTTCTTAACATAGAATAACCCTTAGTTATGAGGCATCATATGGGGTACCGAAATTATCCATTATTTTGTATGAAGAGAAGTAGTTTCCGTACATAAAATTTAACCCATTATAATTATACAATTTTATTATATCGAACCTATTTTTCATTTATAATTGTTGAACAGACCATTTTCTAAGAGATAAATAGATGTAATTCAGGAAATAGAAAGCAGACTTAACGCGTGTATCTATTACCCGGTACCGTTACCCCCAATGCATTCACATGCAATGGCATGCTTGTATGCATGATATTTTATGCACCAAGGCCATAAAATTATTTTATATAGTAATATTGGTCAAAATTATGATAATTAAACAAGTTTTCATCACATTGCCTTCTTATCTGTAAACAGGTGGTATTAGTGGAAAACCCTTTAACATGCCTCACGAGTAAGTATGTTTGCGCAAGCGCGCAAGGACGGAATCCCCCAGATAAAACAAGGTCACGTTTTGACAATGCACAGGTGAAAGTGATTTAAAATGAGACTTTTTATACGTACTGTCGAACTGACACTTAGATTTTGTCTCGTTTATGTATCTGCTTGATTTGAAATGAATTTCTAAAGAATGCATGTAAAAATCAAGCGTTTAAATGAAAAATACGGGTACTGCTTCTGTACGGGAAATGCTCGCATGCCAGTAGAACTGATTGTTAATACAGTGTAAACTCACTAAGCCAGAACTCTAAATTCCAGAATCCTCTACAAATTCTGTTCTTTCCTGATCCTGATTTCTTTAACCTTCCATTTCTTTGTACAAAAAAAGCTTATGAAAACCAGAAACTATCAATCAACAAACAGAAATAATTTCAGCAGAATTTTTGTTTATTTTCAATGTAATTTTACCCGTGTAAACCCATAGGAAAATAAGATGATAGTGTATTGTCAATCATAATTGAATATTTCACATATTTATTGGACAACATTTGAAAGGTGTGAAAATTACAGTTTTTATGATTGGTTTGAACAACAGATGTTATCCGGAACTCAGCAAATATGGGTTTTTCCCAACTAATCTGTAGGAACAAACAAACTTTAACGGCAGCTTCATGGTGCACTACCCATCACAATAGATTAGTAAACTTGTTGTACATATTTTCCAAGTTGTAACTGTAACTGTTTGTGGCTGGGGAAAAAACAAATATTCATAATTCCGGAGTTAGTTTATTTATACATGTAATACGGGATGATTTCTTTGAAGAAGATAACAAGATATGTTTGTAAAACATGTATGCCCCCTATCTGCAGCCAATTAGTCATGTGATCAGGTTATTATGCATGACTTCAGACCCAGTAAACAAACAAGAGCGATCAGTAATCACATGTGTCGCCCCATGAAAGGCCCCTTTTAAAAATTGGGACCCAAAAATTTTTGACCAGAAAAAGGACAGACCGAAAGGAAAAGTGCACAACTAAAAACTAACCACTTTGTTACTGATTATTCCTGTAAAAATTTGATGGTAAAAATTGCACCATAAGTTTAATGAGGAGTAGTCCGGACAAGGTTTTGCGTATCTGGGCAAAAACACCGAAAAAAAACCTTTTTTATCAAAGGGCCCATAACTAGGCCAAAAATCATTCCAAAACCCCGGAAAAACCCGTGCAATTAATGCGCAAGGACTTGAGTCTACAGATCAATCCTGTAAAAGTTTCATTGAAATGCATAAGTGGTATAAGAAAAGTAGTCTGGGAAAAACTTTAAAAATAAAAAATTATTAAAGGGCCATAACTAAACAAAAATAAAATTGGGAACCGGGAAAAATGCTGACAATAATGCACAACTAGACCCTTGGGTAATAATCCATTTTCCTGTAAAGTTTTGGATGAAAATTGCAACAGAGTTTTGAGGGTAGTCCGGAAAGCTTTTGTGTTATCTGGCAACACCCACAGAAAAAGAAAGCCTTTTTATCAAAAGGGCCATAAATAGGCCAAAAATCATTCAAACGGGAAAACCCGTGCAATATGGCGCAAGGACTTGACTACAATCAATCCTGTAAAGGGTTTCATTGAAAAATTGCATTAGTGGTAAAAAAGAGAAGTAGTCCGGACAAACTTTAAAATTAAAAAATTATTAAAAGGGGGGGGCCATAACTCTGACAAAAAATCATTGAACCGGAAAATCCTGACAATATGCACAACTAGACTTGGTACTGATCATTCCTGTAAAGTTTTGGATGAAATTGCACCAGTAGTTTATGAGGAGTAGTCCGGACAAAGTTTTTTGTGACGGACGGAAAAAACAGGACCAGACAGACAGACAGACGACAGACGGACAAACAGGGAAAAAGGACGGGCAGAAGTGAATCCCTATTTTGTCGCCACTACTCCGTAGAGGCGACACAAAAATGAATAAGGGTTATCTACTGGTCATGACTAGTCACAAGGTAATAGTAATTGTGACCCCATAGGTTGTGTGCAGCAATTTAAGTTATTACAAATCTTACCAAATAATATATGCATAAATTTTATAAATCATGTAGGCCTCATAATGACACCCAAGTTGTTATATTACATCAGACCTTCAATTAGTATACCAAAAGCATTTTTAGTTGAATACAAGCAATTATCATAGTATTGCAAGCAATCCATAAGTCCCCTACCGGTAAGAGCCCAAGCAACATTCTGAAGGGCCATTGGCCATTCACTTATGTTTCTATTTTAAGTAAATTTGTTGAAAAAGTTCTTTTAAAGTGATCACAGGAAACAGTTTTTATGTACAGAGAGACGGACTGAAGGACACTCTAAAGTTATTTTTTAAACATCCCTGTTATCAAAATATAACATTTTTAAAAGCAAAATTTTTAAAAAGGAGATCACGATGTCATACATGATGTGAGTGTTACAAAGAACAATTAGTAATGAAGGTATGAATATTGAATGTTTATTTTGAATTTGAAGTAAATGAAAGTTAAAAGAACAAATAGAAAAAATTAAAAGTTTAAGGAAGAGATAATTCTGGAAATATGGATGTTAGATTTATAAACTTTGTCATATTATTATGATGTGGGAGTTTGAAGAAAATCCTATCATGATTGAAGAAGTTGGAGTAAAAATTACCAATTTCACAAAAAAAAGTCTAAGTTCAAAAGGGGCATAATTCTGGTAATAGTCTTGCTAGAGTATTTAACACTCACAAATATTGAGTGATAATAAGAAACATTTATATGAAGTTTGAAGTAGATACATTTAAAAAAAAAAGAAGTTATTAAAAAAACAATGTTTTTTCATGAAAATTTTAAGTTAAAGGGAGGTAATTCTGATAAATTTTGTGCTGTGTTGTAAACCTTGTCACATATGATGTGGTTGATGACTAGCAAATTATATTTAAAGTTTGAAGAAAATACCTTAAGAAATGAAGAACTTAAAGTGAAAAAAACTTGAAAAAACTAGAATCAGAAATCTTGAAATTCAGTCTATTTGTTACCATAGCAACCAGAATTTTCAACATAGGAAGATAAGAAAAGGATGTGCATAATTACCATACTGCCATCTACCCATATGTCAAGTTACATAAAAATATTTCAGTACTTTTTGCGTTATCACTGGATCCAGGTTATGTGTAAAATTTGGCATATTTGCAGTCTATTTGTTGCCATAGCAACCAGAATTTTCAGCATAGGAAAAAATGAAAAAGACGTGCATAATCTCCATACTGCCATCTATCTATATATCAAGTTTCCTAAAAATATTTTCAGTACTTTTTGCGTTATCGCGGGATCCAGGTTATGTGTAAAATTTGCCATATTTTCAGTCTATTTGTTGCCATAGCAACCAGAATTTTCAACATAAGAATAAAAGAAAAAGACGTGCATAATCTCCATACTGCCATCTATCCATATATCAAGTTTCATTAAAATATTTTCAGTACTTTTTGCGTTATCGCGGGATCCAGTTTTGTGGACGGACGGACGGACGGACGGACGTTCTCACAGGACAGTAATTATGTGGCTACTCTATTGTTCTCTCTATTGTTCTTTTAGCCACGCAAAAGAAAAATAGCCACATAAAAGCATTACGGAATGAATGACATCAAAGAGAACCTATTGTCCCTCTAGCCACATAATTACTCTCCTGTGAGTGCGGACGGACGGACGGACAGACAGACGGACAGACGGACGGAGGGTAAACCTAAAGTCCCCTACGGTAAACCGGTAGGGGACTAATAAAAATATCAACCATGGCAACTTGAGTTGTTGAGTTATTGGTCAGAAACCACCTTTAAGTACAAGGTCAATATGTCACTGACTCCTTGACCCCAAAATCTGGAACATCTGTTGGTCATGACCAATCATCACAGCAAGTTTGAAGTTCCTAGGCCTAAGCTTTCTTTAGTTATTGATCGGAAACCGTTTTTACCTACTAGGTCAATGTGACCTTGACCTTTGACCCCTTGAACCCAAAATCAATAGGGGTCATCTACTGGTCATGGCCAATCATCATACCAAGTTTAAAGTTCCTAAGCCTAAGCTTTCTTTAGTTATTGATAAGAAACCGTTTTTACTTACAAGGTCAATGTGACCTTGACCTTTGACCGCAAAATCAAAAGGGGTCATCTGCTGGTCATGACCAATCATCACACTTAGTTTGAAGTTCCTAGGCCTAAGCGTTCTTTAGTTATTGATCGGAAATCGTTTTTACCTAAAAGGTCAATGTGACCTTGACCTTTGACCCCTTGACCC